CCGCAACAAGCGGTTTCACTATCGGAATGGTCTCTAGGACGACACAGGAAAACAGAGCCGGCCTCCAAGTCACGCGGCTGCGACACCGCAGCTGAGGGTCTGGAGTTGATGACATCAAGGACATGGAGGCAGCGCCAGGCGTGCCGGACTCCGGGCCGTGTCTGGTCTCGTCGGTGTAACAGTTCATCTAAGGGGTTCGCCAGGAAGACGAGCTCAGAGGCAGGAGGGCCGGACTCCGTGCAGAGCCCGCAAGACTTCGGGGGGGGGTTCCCACACCCCAGGTTCTGTCTTCACTCTGTAAAACGAGGCCGATCAATAGGGAGGTCAAGGGCGTGTCCGTGTCCGTGGACTGAGAGTGACTTCGCGGAGGCGTCTCTGCCCGTCACTCCCTGTCTGGAGCTCAGTTTTCTGGTCTGTGAAAAGGGAGCATTCATGCCCACATGGCAGAGTCGTGAGAGGCAAATGCACAGAGCACCAGTCCAAAGCTGGCACACGGCGGGCACACGGCGGGCACGAGCTGCTGTCTGAGTCCTGAGGGGCACCTGAGAGGGGCTCAGAAAGGACAGAAAGGGTGCTCCTGGCAGAGGCCAACGCATGAATTAACCAGGGCACGGGTGAGGTGAGCCAGGGCAAGGGAGGGGAGGAGCTGACCTGGGGCCCACGACCTCGGGCCTGCAGCAGCATGGGCTGGCCCTGAGCAGGGAGCTGGGTCCACAGGGGCTCATCAGGTCCGCTCTGCAACCCCAGAGGCTCCTTCTGGCACCGGGGTTTGGAGGCGGCAGGCAGCAAAGCCACGTGGCCAGTCCCCAGGGCTGTCTGCTCCACAGGCCTGCGGCTCCCTGCCAGGGCCCAGCCCAGGGAGGCAGGCTCAGGGCTGAGGGTGGACGGAACAAGGCATGGCCCCGTCTGGTGCAGTTGGAGATGGAGGCTGGGCCCAGGGGGGCTGTGCAGATTCTGCAGGTTCCCCACCGTCTCTGAGGCCCAAGCAGAGACAGACTCGCCAGCACCGTGGCGGTTGTGGAGGGCCGCCCAGCATGGGCCCGGCGGTCCTTCAGGTGGGTCCAGCGGCTGGACCACGGGTCCCCGCATTTCCTGTCAACTTGGCAGCAGAAAGCAGAGGTAGATGGTTTCTTTTCTCTCCGTTGCTGCCAGGCAGCTCGGGGCACATGTTGTGCTCAGACACAAGAGTGAACGCCTTTAAACCAGGCTTTCTGGGCCAGTGCTCCCCTCCACCTGGCATGGAGAACCCCCAGACATAATGACCCCACTGTCCCCGAGGCTGTCACTGGGAACAGCCACAAAGCCTCTTCGCAGGAAAGAAGCACATTTTCGGTCCCCAGGGCTTCCTTTCGACCCACGGTTGGCAGTGGACGCTGCCCCCAGTTTTCAGACGTATAGCGGTGCACCTGCTCGGAGTCCCCGGCCCTCACTGCCCTGCCCTCCTGATGCCCCTCGGAAGCCCCTGGCAAACAGGGAGGCGGCCCGTCCGTGCCAAGGGACAGCCACAGCTGGCATGTGGCCAGTGCGTGGTGCTCCACACGGGGCTGTGGAGCCCCGGCCTGGCGCCTTCAGCCTGGCTGCCTCCCACCTCCCCCTGGCCTGCGGGGGCTGATGGCGGCTGACAGCCACGGCGGGCCACGAGGGCCGCAGCTACCCGAGCAGGCTCAGGACGGGCCTGCCCGCACCGGTGTTTTGATCCAAGGCTGTGCTGGAGTGTGTGAGCCCGGCCGAAGGATGTGATATAAGAACACAGCCGCCTCGCCAGCAAGTGCCACCGCCGCGGCCCCGCCCCCGCCCCCGCCCCGCCCCCAGCCCCGCCCCCGGAGCCACAGCCGCGGCTCCGCCCCCAGCCCCGCCCCCGGAGCCACCGCCGCGGCCCCGCCCCCAGCCCCGCCCCCGGAGCCACCGCCGCTCTTCCCGGAGTATTCATTCCGCCTGCTCCGAGGGGCCTTTTTAAATTCCATACTGAGCTGTAACGGAATATTTTGGAGGATGCTTTTCCTCCTTTTCTACCAACTCAGCAATTGAACTAGAACACAGGAGTTCATTTAAACAAATGTGTGTCCATGTACGTCCTGTGCTGGGCTTGGACCGTCCAGTGGCCAGGCCAGTCTATACTCAGGGTCCGCCTGCCAGCATCTTATCCTGGCTTTTTTTTTTTTCTTTTTTAAATTTTGCCTGAGCTCTCCTGAGCCCGGGGAAAGCCGGGGGCAGGAAGGCAGCTGCGTCCAGGACTTGTCCAGCACCGCCCTAGGGGATGCCGTGTCCACAGGACACCGGAGCTGGGTCTCAGGGCCCAGGCCTGCCGAGCGGGACACTTCTGGGTTCGAGGTGCGCTCTGCCTCTCACACCGCTGGTCCTGGGCCGGACGGCCCGTGCTGGCCTGTTTCCTCAGCCACAGGCCGGGGCTGACGATGACACCGTGGAGTAGACATGGAGATAGGAGAGGAGGCCACCGCGTGGGTGGACGGGCAGCAGCGACGGGCCGCGGCACCAGCAGCAGACAGAGGTCGGGCCCCTGCTCTGTGCGCAGAGAAAACCTCTGCAGGATGGTTCCTGGACCACAGTGGGAGCAGCCCGTGCTCGGGGCACCAGGGGATGTCAGCATCCCCACCTCATGGACGCAGACCAGGCTGGAGCACAGCAACTGGCCGTTCCCTGCGGCAGAGCAGGGTGCGAGGCCAGGTCTGTCTGTTTATCCAGCTGAAAAGAAAGTCTCTCCAGGCGGCAATTAGGATGAAGTGAGGAACATCTGTTGGCTGAATGAGGGATTAGGTGCTGGCTGCCAGCAGCCCCAGCGACAGCCTGGAAGGAGCAATTCCTGGGGTTGGGGAGGATGGGCGCGGGCTGTGTGGACATGCTACCTGGAGCCGCGTTCCTGTGAGAGACCCACTGTCCATCCCCAAGAGCCTGGGGCATCTCCCCCACTGCACCCTGCAGCTCAGACGCAGCTCCAGTGAGGTCACCCCTCGCAGGACCCCTTTCGGCTGGCACTCTGGATCACGGATTGGCAGGGTGGCAGGCTTGGCACAATGCCGCTCTCACTTCCCAGGAGGAGTAGAGGTCCAGAGAGGGCAAGGGTTTTCAGAGCTAGCTCAGCAATCCTGCAACCAAGCCAGGCCTCTGATCTGGGCACCCCTTCCAGGTCCCCGACCGGCAGGGAGAGGTCAGGGATGTTCCAAATGGCCTTCATCGGCCCTCTCCCCCATCCCCTCCCCGGTCTGGGCTTCACGGCCTGCCCTGGAGCCTAAACACAGCCACTGTGAGGGTGCCCATGAGTCAGTGTGGATACAGTCTGGGGGAGCTCGGCCAGGCGGTGCATCCTGAGGGCCTAGAACTTGGGGTAATGAGGCCGGCTGGGCATCTGCAGAGGGGTTGGAGGTTCTCCAAGGGACAGCCAGCCCTGGCACATGGACCGGGAAAGGGGCTTGCCTGGCTCCTGATTCAGAAGACGAAAGGAAGGACCCAGGGCTGACCTCTCCCTGGGACGAACGCGTGGTCACCTCAGGCCAAGGACAGATGGGTGGTGATCCAGGAGAGAACTGAGCTGGCAGGCAGGGGAGGGAGGGGAGGAGTACATAGGAAAGGCCAGGGGCACAGTGGGACAGGAGAGAGGATGGTCACCAGCAGGATTCCACAGCTTGAGCTCCTCCCGGGCATGTGTGTGCATGTTCCAGGGGCACCTCCCCTCCCCCTGTAGTGCCCAGGTCCTGCTCCTGCCCACCTCATCCCTGCTCTCTCAGCTCCAGACTCCATGATGGGGGCCAGCAGAGTCTGGGGGGAGGCCCCTCCAGTATTTCCCACTCTTCTAGCCACCCTCCTCAAGCCTCAGTGTGGGGTGCGCACAGACAAGGAGGTCAGGGGGCAGGCATGAGGGTGAGCAAGGGATCAAGGCTGGGCTGCTCTGGGGGAAGAGACTCAAATGCAGGGGGTGGGTGGGAGGGACCTGCAGGCTCCAGACCCTCCCCAGCAAAGCAGGCTTTCCCCAACCCCACAGCTGTCAGCCTCCAAGTTCAAAACAGCAAGACACCGGCAAAGGCCTCAGCCCCACCCGGACCTGCTTCTGCGCAGGTCTCCATCCAGCCTGAGTCCTCCCCAGAACCGAGCCGGACGTGCTCAGAGCTGGAGGCTGCCCACAGCTCAGGGAGGACTCCGCCTAGGATGCGACAGGCCCACCTTCTTCCACTGGGGAGGGGCTGCCAGGCCAGGCCAGGCACTGGGTGGGGGTAGGGGGGACAGGCCTGGAGATGAAGAGAGGACAGTCCTCCAGGATGTAAATTTGGAGTTAATTTGGAGGTTCTCTTGGCCAGTTACAGTACAAGAACTTTTGATTTAAGGGGGGAAGAGAGACCTTCCCCATCTCATGCGAGAGGGAAGATTGGCATCTGGCGACCTGGAGTGTCCTCCTTCACCCCTGGGAGGAGGTTAGGCAGGGTGAGGGTCTGGAAGTTACCCCCACCGCGGCTGAAGTACGGGCTGCTGCACCCAACACTTAGATTACAAAGGTTTATTTAGAAAATAGCTTGGTTGTTTGGGCTGCATTTTTGGCAAACATTTAAATACTTTCAGTAACCAAAGATTGTCAGTGCCCTTCCCTCCCCCAAGACAGCCACCCCACTGGGCCCTGGGAAAGTCAGCCCTTTCTGGGAGGGTCCATGCTGTGCTTAGGGCCTTTCGCGCCCCTTGGAAGGCTGCAAACGCCTCTGTGGTCTAAGACCCTGGACTGCCACACCTCGGCAGGGCACCCCTAGCTGGATCCAGGCCTGGAACCCCACAAGCAGTCCCTTGCTGAGATGGGAAGGCAGAGGGGGTCTCCCCTTTCTCCTCCCCTCTCCCGGGGGCTTTAGGTCTCAGCCTACGCTCCTGCCCCGCGCCCTGGAGGGCAAGCCATCCCTGGGTCTCTGGGGAATCTAACCCAGCTTTCTCTGGGGGCCACGCCTGCCTGCCTGCCCCTCCTCCTGGAGCTGCTCAGGGTCTCCGCGCCAGGCGGGGCGCACAAGTCACTGCCTGAAGCCCCTTCTCCTCCGTCGGAAGAGGATGTGCTTGAAGGAGCGCCGGAAGTCCTGGTTGAAGATGGTGTAGATGACCGGGTTGAGCGAGCTGTTGCAGTAGCCGATCCAGAAGAAGAACTTGAAGAGCGGGTCGGGCACCTGGCAGGCCTCACGGCAGATGCCGTACAGGCTGTAGCTGAAGAAGAAGGGAAACCAGCAGAGCACGAATACGCCCATGACCACGGCCAGCACGAAGGTGAAGCGCTTCTCGCGCGCCTGAGCCACCTTGCGGCGGCACACACTGCTGCGCGCCCGGCGCCGGCGCGACAGGAAGAACTCGACGGAACGCGAGCTGGCTCGAGACAGGCGCCCGCTGGGACCCGGGGACCTCGCGGAGGAGAGCGCGCCGGACCCGACGGCCCCGGGAGCCAGCGCGTCCGCGCCCCCCGCGCGCTGTCGCCCACCTCGCCGCAGGGCACCCCGGCGCCGCCGCCTCTCGGCCGTCGCGATGCTGTCCTCCGGCTCTACGTCGCGCGGGCGGCGCGGGGGCGCGCAGTGCCCGTTCTCGCCCACGCCCGTAGGCGCCCCCAGCCCATTCTCCGTGGTAGGGGACGCGCCGTCCGGGCCCGTGGTCGTGTGCTTCTCGCTGACCGTGCGTGTGCGCAGCTTAGCCACGCGGTAGATGCGCACGTAGACCAGGCCCATGATGAGGCAGGGCGCGAAGAAAGAGCCAATGCAGGAGGATAGGATGTACCAGGTCTCATCGTTGAGGCCGCACTGCGGGTAGGCGGCGCCGTCGGGCTGGCGGTAGAGCGAGACAAGCGGTGGGAAGGAGATGACGGCTGAGATGAGCCACACGGCCACGATCGTGGCCTTGACGCGGCGCGGGGTGCGCTTCAGGTTGTATTCGACAGCCTGCGTCACGGACCAGTAGCGGTCCAGGCTGATGGCGCACAGGTGCACGATGGACGAGGTGCAGAAGAGTACGTCGAGCGCCAGGTACACACCGCACCACACCTGTCCAAAGTACCAGTAGGCCATGAGCTCGTTGGCCAGCGAGAAGGGCATGACCAGCGTGGCCACCAGAATGTCGGCGGAGGCCAGCGACACCAGGAAGAGGTTCTGCGGTGCACGCAGCGCCCGGCTGGTCAGCACTGCGATCACCACCAGCACGTTGCCCACCACGGTGAAGACGATAAGGAAGCCCACCACAGCCGCCAGCCCCGCCACGGCGCCCGCTGAATATTGGCCCGGGGGCGGCCCCCAGGCGACCCCCGAGGCGTTGGCGGCCCTGCCGCTGCCCCCCTCTCCGGCGCCGCTCGCGTTGGGGCCCGCCGCCGCCGCCGCCGCCAGCGCCACCGCCAGCGCCGGGGACGCCATGGTCCTCCCGCGAGCTACGCGGTCCCGCCTGGAGCCGGGGAGCAGCCGCGGCAGCTCGGGAGCCCCCCAGCCCGGGTCGGCGTCCGCATCGCCGCCTGCTCCTCGGGCGCACCCTCCACGGACCGCGGCACCCCGCAGCCGACCCTCGGCCGTGGTGGCTCGGCGGACGAGCGGCGCGCCGGAGAGCGTGGCTGCCGGGCTCCCCGCAGCTGCCGCGCACGTTAGTGCAGAGCAGGAGGCGCCCGGAGCGAGCGGCGGCGGGGGGAGGGGGCAGGTTCCAGGGTCCTCACGCGGCCCCGCCCTCGGCACGGCTCACGGGGAGCGCCCCGGCCGCGAGCCCACGGAGACGCGGCGCCCGATCGGGCGGGCCCCAGCGGCCCCGCGGCCCCAGCGCACTGCCGAGGCGCAGGCTGCAGGCGGCGGCGGCCCGGACACTCCGCCTCCCATTCGGCCGGCTAGGGATCGGCGCACTGGGATGCGGGCTGCCGCTCCTCCGGGTCCCCACGCGCAGCCTCCGGCTCCAACTTTACTTTCCCGGGCAGGGCGCCGCCGCGTGTCCTTCTCCAGCCCCTCCTCCTGGCGCGGGCGCCCCCCGCAGTCCGTGCTCGGCCGTGCGGGCACCGCCTCGCTCGCCCAAGCTGCGCCGCCGCTGCTGCCGCCGCCGCCGCCGCCGCCTTCTCTCCGCCGCCGCCGCCGCCTTCTCCCCGCCGCCGCTGTGCGCTCGGTGCGAGTGCAGCCACCCGGGCTCGGCTTCCAACTTGGGTAGAGTTGCGCGGTGGGGCGGGGCGCGGGCGGGCAGGGGCGGCCTGGCGGGCACGCCAGCGCTGCTGGCCCGGGGGGAGCGGGCCGGGAGCCGGAGCCCGCGGCCGCCTTGGTGAACCTTCCTGCGCGGCGCCGGGGAGGAGTCGGGGCGGTGGCGCGGGGCGCGCGCTCTCAGCGAGGGCGCCCCCTCCAGGGCCGTCTGCAGTCTGCGGGACAGGGCTGAGTGCCGGCTGGCCTGCGCGGTCTGTTCCCCAAGCCTGCTCCGAGACACCAGCCTCCTCACCTTCCCCGGGCACACGCACACGCACACGCGGGCACGCACACTCGCGCGCAGTGCCGGCCGGCTGGGGGTCGGTGGCCTGATTGGAGAGCCAGCCTCTCGCTGGCTGTCCTCTGAGCGCGGGGTCCAGCCCAGTCTCCGGTCGGTGCTCCCAGACAGAGCTGCTCCACACCCCCGCCTTCGTTCTCTCCCTTGCCGGCTTGCATGAATCATGACGGCGGTGCCTGTGGAAGGCCTGGGCAGGCTCCCAAGCTCTGCACCCATGTTGGCAATTATAGAAGTTTAATTCTAACGCTACGCGGCTCTGGTTTTTAAGGGTGAAGGGATGTTCAAAATCACCACCTCTGACCAATACTCAACCCCAAATTGCCCGGACGGCAGGTGGTTTTGCGTAGGTGCCTCATTCTTGCCGGTTTAGGGGCGAGTTGTTGGGGTAACCCTGCTCACCCCTGCCCACGTCCCTCATCATTGATTCTGCAGATGTGCGCCGTAGGTCCCGGGCCTCGTTATGTGCCTGTTGGTCCCTGCCTCCAGGCAGCCTGAGGACTGTGGGAGACAGATATTGGGGAGAGGTTGGAGTTCTGGGGCCTGACATGCTTGCTGGGACCAAAGAGGGGACCTTTGCCCTTCCAGAACCTCACCCAGGCTGGCGGCTGCTCTCCCTGCATCCTTAGATGGGGTCCGGGGTGGGGGAGGGGCGGGACCTTCTGGCATGGCAGGGGAGGGTGGGAGCAACTCCTATGCCCAGCGAGGCCTTGAACTGTGGTGGTTGCAGGCTGCTTGCTCTTCTCTGAGCTCCCCAAGGGCTCACAGGGCCTTACACGGGGACCCCTGCGGTCTCAGCAGAGATGCTCACACCGGAGCCCATTTTTCTTGTTAACCACGTGATATGGAGGAAGAGGGAGTAGAGCCAAAGATGGGCCAGAAACCAGACACTGCAGGTGGTGGGCCGGCCCCAGAGGGGCTAACCCTCCCTCCTGGCCCTAGGCATGCATGTACCATGCATGTGAGAGGCATGTGAGCCGGGGAAGTTGGAGGGCCTCCACCCTTGTGCAGGGTCCTCCAGGTTCTGGGGGCCTAAAAGATGCCTCTGACCTGGGGTGCATGGTTCAGGGGAGAACCACACACAGCTGTGTCCTCCATCATCAGCATGGCATCCGCGTGGTCTGTTGTGCCTCCGGCCTTGAGGTGCTTGCCACACACTGCGATGGGTGGGGTTTCCAGGGAGGCTCCCTGGAGGAGGTGGCCTCTGAGCTGCATTTGGAGAATGAAGGGAGTTGTGGGGACGTAAGAGGCCCTTGTGGGCCATGCTCCCAGGGGAGGGTGGGCTTTGTCTTGGAGGCACCATAAGCAGAGGAGGACCCAGGAGGGGGAGTGGCAGCCATCGATGTAGGTTCTAGGTGCTCTCCTCTCCCGGCACCCAGCCAGCCATGGCCTGCTCCAGGTCATGGGGGTTCTTACCTGGTGAGGAGCACTTTGGGGGCATGCATGGGGACATCCAGGGTCCTGGTCCCACTTGACACCTCACGTGCTCACAAGCAATGGTAGCATAGCATGAGGGGTTGGGAGGGAAAGGACACAGAGCAGCTGGGACCTGAAGCAGACAGGACTTCCCGCTGCCCAGGAAGTGGCTCTCCCAGCCAGTGCAGTCTGGGGGCATCTGGAGCGCCCGGCCAGCCAAGTGACCCAGAGCCCTAGGGACGCCTAGCTGACCTTCTGACCTCAGGCTGCAGACATTGCACTGTTGGCAGCCTCTTCCTGGCATGACCAGGAGGAGCCGGAGGAAGTGCCGCTCCTGTGGGTCCAGGGCCCGAGCCAAGGGGTGGAGGAGTCCCTGAGGATTTCTTGGGGTAGAGTGTCCCTTGGCTGGGTTTGGGGACTCCTGCCTACGTGCACCAGAGGCTCAGGACCACAGCTATTCCGAAGGGAGCCAGGGCAGCTCTTACCCCAGACACTGACAAACTGTTCCTGGGTACCCTGTAACAAGCAGAACAGCATGACCCGAGAGAGACTGCCTGACCCAAAGTGTCACTGATGGCCGGGCCTGGGCTTGGCAGGACCTGGAGAGATAACCAGGTCTGTGGGGTGCAGTGGGAGTCAGGCTGCATGAGAGGGGAGTCAGGGGCGCTGGGGAGTGGGGCATCTCAGAAGGGAAACCACATCAAAGGGAAGCATCCCAGGGCAGCCAAGGTGTGCTGGCCCTTCATCCCACCCGTGACTAGTGGGGCCCAGAAGGGTTAGTCCAGCCAGGGCCATACCTCGGGGACACTGGGCACCAGCCCCTGCTGCTATGAGAGGTATTTGGGTGCAGAGCACACCTCCTGGGAAGAGGTGCTCTGTGTTCTATAAGGGGCCTCAGTTTGTCTCCTTGCCCACATAGGTATGCACACATGTGTCCACGCACACACCACACATATACACATGAATGCACACATACACAGCCATGTGCACACATTCATGCACACCCATGCTTGCGTACCCACAGCACATGCATCCACGCATGCATACTGCATGCATCTAACAAGTATCCATGTGCGCACACAATGTATACATCCATGTTTTTGCACACGCAGCAGGTGTGCCCAGTCTGCACACCATACACCTGTATGTCATGTCTTCATGCACACACATATACTGTGGGCACAATATCCACACATGTGTATATGGTCATGTACACGGGTTATATGCACATGTGTGTAAACCCATGCACACACACCTCATACATGTGCACACACGCACTCATGCACGTGTGAACATGCATTCACACATAGCACACACATGCACATGTGTTTGCCCCTACACACATGCATGCATGCACACACCCACACAGGCACAGGTGCCTCACTCACCCTCCCAGGCTACAGAGAGTGAGTATTTTTGTCACCCCATCGTGGGCAGCTCTTCCCAGGTTTCCTGCTGGGTGCTGCTTGGTCCTCCTGCTGCTCACCTCCTGGCTTGTTCAGGTGGCTCTGTAGCCCCCTCGCTGCAGGATGTGAGCCCGTGTGTCACTGCCTTTCGTGGCCTGCAGGCCTGGGCACATGCTGTTCTCCAGGCTGGCAACCCTTGGCCTGCCTACCCCTCTGGCTACCCCTTCCAAGTGTGTTGCAGGAGAACCCTCCCCACGAGGCCTCTCTGATCCCTCAGGCTGCATAAGAGACCCCTTGCTGTCCTCCTGTGTGCCCCTTGGGCAGACCGTCCCCAGTGATCACGTGTCCCCGGGCTGCGGGCTCCTGAGAGCAGGCCCCGGCTCTGTCCCTCTGCCCGGTGTCGGCAGACAGAGCTCACAGTGAGACCTCCGTGAAAGTGCAGCAGGGGCAGGGGTGTCAGGGTGAGGTCGAAACCCTGCATGTTCCTGGTACCCCCAGCCTCCCTAGCTGCCCTGGATGCCTGCACTGTGCGGGGTGCAGGGGGCCTGGCAGAGTACAGGGCCGCCGCGTCCCTGGCTGGAAGGGGAGCCTCTGGTCTGTGAGGCTGGAGTTGTTGCGTGTGGAGTGCAGCTCCCGGTCCCGCTGTCTGGCCGTGGGAGAAGCTCCTGCCTCCCCGGGCCTCAGTTTTCCCATCTGCAAGATGGGGTGTTGGGCCCATGCCAGCTCTGCCCCCTCCTGGCCGCTTGCTCCCGGAGGTGGGCGTGTGTCTGGTCTGCTGCCCTGCGCTCTGTGGGCGCCTCTAGGGGGAGGGGCAGGGCCCTGAGTCAGGGGAAGAGCCAGCCCTTCACTTAGCTGGCTGGTGTGGACCCGGGAGCCAGCCTGGCCGTGCAGCCTCCAGACTGAGCTTGTTTTCTCCTTCCAGCTGGGCTGAGGAACCCCCCCCCCCCCCACTGTGTGTATCTGAAATTTCATTTTTGCAGCTGAGGCAGGGAAAAGGAGGCTGGCTTCTCTCCCTGCCCCTCCCCGAAGAATCCCAGAACTGCTTTGTCTCGGCAGAACGTGGCCAGGATCCGCCGGCCTGGGCCTGGCTC